ATCAAAGAGAATCGTGTGACCAGAGAAAAGTGTGACCAGAGAAAAACACATTTTTTGGAAAGACAAAAAATTAAATGCGTGCTTAATTTTTTTTTTTTTTTTTTTTTTTTTGTGCAGTGTGAACGAAGGGTTTTAATGATTGTGTTTTTTAAAAGGTCAATCGCATTGTTTTGAGCAAAGCATGTGTCTTGGAGGCAAGTTGGTCATGAAATGATGATTGTATCGAGAATGACCGTGGACATTTCTAAGAGGTGATTCAGGGGTATATAAGGAGCGAAAAAAAAAATAGCCGATTTAGCTGCGTTTGAGGCGTCTTATGCTGTGCCTTTTTCTTCTACTTCAAAGTTTCCTATATTTTCCCTAACCGCAGTCTCGAGTTTTAAACATCATGATAAATCACATTTGGGCATCAGCTTGCATGAACTCGAAACTTCGCGGAATACTGCCTCGGAGGGCTAATGTTATATTCGGTTTTACGTGCACTCACCTTGGGCCCTCACTTTACAATTCTGTGATTCATCAGTCGTGCGCTTTAAGATTTTATTAGGCTGCCACATATCGCGAGACTGCTATATACGTGGCATTTATTTGTTTTTCTTTTCTTCCAAGTTTAAGATATTTGTTTAAAAAAAAATCCGTGAAACCTACATTTATGCGGTTTGTGCAGATGAGTTATGCGGCCAAGGGGACCAATATAGGGGGCTAATCGTTGCGATAAGTCAGATAATTAAATAAAATTTGTTAATTAACTTTTGCATTTGTGAGAATAGAGATTTGGTTCCAATAAGAAACTTGCTGGGCGACATCCAAAGCCACTAGACCAATCATTTTTAGAAACACTATGAGCGCGTGAGGGGCGTAGTAGTGCGCTAAAGTTACCACTCCTTCAGCAGGTACGAGGCTTGGGCTATGAGAAGAGGCGGAAAAATCGCACGGGCGCCTCCTCGCACCGGTAGCCTTGTTCCTGCTGCACGACTGGTAACTTTAGCGCACTACTGCGCTTCTCACGCGCTGTCTTTTTTTAAATATTACTGATTTAGTGGTTCTCGATGACGCTCAGCAAGTTTCTAACTGGAACCATGTGTCTATTTTCATTAATTAAAAAGTTAATTAACGAATCTGACTTAATTAGGCGACTGATCGTCACAATTAGCCCCCTATACTATGTCCCCCTGCATATAACTTACCTGTACAAACCGCATAAGTGTAGCTTTCCCGACTTTTTGGCAGCGGAGCTGTTAAGGGCTAGTTTCCCCAGTTTCGTGTCCGTGGACAAATAAATCTTGACATAACGCTCTGGACCGCTACCGCCATCTATGAGCAACGGTGGTAACCAGACAACTGGCTGTCTGGTTGCCGCCGTCGCTCATAGATGGCGGCACATAGTACAGCTCCGTAAGGTACGGAAAGGTAGCGCAATTCCTCCTCTTCCCTTGTTTTCCTCCTTTACATCGAGGGCAATCCTCCTCGCCCTCTGTCCGCGCCACGCCCCCCGCCGCCATGTCTGAGCGGGGCACACTGTGCGGCGCGCGCGCCTGTGTGCCGCACAACCGGGTGTTGGGCCGAACGTGTTTTTGCATACGGCGGACTAGAGGTTTTTTTTTTGTTTTTGTTTTGTTCAGATATGAAGACAGTGCTGTTTTTTAACGTGAAGAATCTCGCGTTTGTGCACCTTTGTTGGAGTTATAAAGCACGGAAGACGTCTCCATCGGCAAATCGGTGGCCGAGTGGTCTAGCACACACCAGCTCGAAGCACGTGGAGCGAAAGCTCGCGCTGAAGAACCCAGGGATCCTGGGTTCGAGCCCCACCCCTGCCCGTTTCGATCTGGATGAGCATCGTACCGGCGTGGGGTCGTGTATCACTACTGCGTGATGCACGTTAAAGACCCCAGGCTAGCGGCTGTACCGCACTGGCTAAATTTCTCATCTACAGCTGGGAGACTCGTCGCCCCTGTGAGGCAGACCAAGTTTTAGGCTGTATAAACACACACACAACCCATTTTATAATAGCGCGAGCAGAGTTGGGATCGCTCGGGCGTGAAGACGAAGAATTTCTCCAATTCCTCTAAACGCAAACGATTAAAAAAAATGTAGTCAAGTATTTTAGAACATCGGCATGCACTGCGAAAATATATTTCGTTTACCCGTTTATAGCAGCAAAAGTTGAGAGCAGGCACACGATAGAATGCCCCTCTCCCTGCGTGTAAATAGAGTTTCGTGGGCAAGGACTGCGTTGCTTGCGGGAGCTCGTGCTGATTGGGCACGCGCCCGCAAGGCTCGCAATCCTTAGCGTACGCTCTACTAAAACTTTTTAGTATCTTGAACGAAGTGTATTTGGAGAATCGGCATCGCTCGAGTTAGGCAAATAAATGACACCACTACGCGTGTAAAACAGGACTTTTCGGTAATGTTTAGCATCACCGATCGTTTTGTCAATCCAGCAGCTTGGTTTACTTCATCCCCATTTTATAAGCTTCGAATACTACCTGCAACTGCAAACATGCGCACGGAGGAGTATGCGACGTCTGCCTAATTATGCGCCTCGGGCATATAACTACCCACCAAATACATTCACTAGTATCCCCTCCGTTAAAATGAAAAATAGCGCGCGCTCGCGGTAGCCTTGCCAGCACGTTTCTCATTTATCACATATATTAGTTTTTTGACGTTCGCACACGCAAGGTAGACCCTTGAGTTCACTCTCAAAGTGTATAAGCTTTACCGTGCACCCGCGGGCGTACCTTACTGCGTGAGTTACAAAACGAGGACAGAGAGATCTTTTAGCAAAGCCTTCTAAATACAAGAGCAATTTTTTTATTGTCAATTATTGATGTATTATTAATCACAAAAACAAATCACATACAAAGATGAAGACAAGAAAATATCTATTGCTACAAGGCAAAATATTGCACATTCGGAAGAGGTCGGTGTGAAAAAAATGGAAGAATCTGCATATGGCTTGAGTTCCTTGAGGCCAGTCTTTGCCAAGATCACTGGCACAAACTGATTGTTCGTGAAGTGATCCTGAAAAATGAATGCAGCATCGCATATTTTTAGTTGCCATTTGTGAAGCACCGATCGCGGAAATATGTTGCACAAACAAAATCGCGAGATGCTCGATCGTTGGTGATTCTCCTTTCACTGACGCAAGATGCACCCGGTAACACTACAATCCTCATTATTTTAGTGGCACCCTAGTCTCTCACGCATCGTTCTCAACACGGCCGACTCAATGCAAGCGAGCCAAGAGCGAGCCAGTCGGTTTTCAATATCAAATATACGCGGTAAAAGACGTCTCAAAGTCCTTCGTGCCGGTAATATATGTTCCGTGTTTGTCTCGTCTCATGATCGTACTAGGCGATCTTCATCGGCGAGGCCGAAAGAGACAGGTAATACGACTCAGAGTTTGACAATGATTTACCTCGCAAAGTCTCCCTCGGAGGCACTCGAAACTTTTCCGACCGATCCGGTGGAGCCATTGTCTTCGCCGTTAAAGATTTTCTTTTCCCGTCGGGACGGCAAAAAAAGCTTCTTTCCTCTCGCAATGCTGTTTGTGCAATCTACAGCGCGGCGTGATGGCATCGCGTTGCCGCCGAGGATGTGGTAAAATATAAAAAAACCTACGGCCGGGCCGCGAACAACGGAGCCACCGCTACGCCTCGCCCAGTGATGGCGTTGGTTTCGAGCAGACGACCGAATCGCGCGAGATCATGGGAAGACAACGGTCACGTGTCGCGCCAGATCCAATTGAAGTGAGGGGAAAGAGAATTTTTGAGAGGTAAAGGGCATCGGCGAGGAGAAATTTCTCTCCCTCATTTCAGACATTGGTTTGCGCTACTTTACCAGCTCCGCTGCTCTTCCTTCTTTAACACAGTGGAAAGGCTGAAAGTATTTAAACAAATCTGTCAAGCTTTAAAAAAATAAAAAAAAATAAAACGTAGATGCACGATTTTACATAAGGACATCTAATTTTGCTAGTGCTGCGAACACCGCATTTCACCAGAAAACCGAACCATTTAGCATGGTTTGCATGGGACGTCATTGCACTCTATGCCGGTGGTCATGGCGATTTTGCTGAGAAAATCGAATCCGGTGGTGCAAAATGCGCGCTGCAGAAAGATCGCGCTCAGTGCAAGCCATGTATTTGAGAGAGACAAACTTATTTCTTGGTGCAACGGCGTAAGGAACGGCGTGAGCGTTGGTCCCACAAAACGCGCTAGCGAGAGTGTTTTTGGAAACAAAGTAGTTTCCGGGGCCACGCTGGAACCTTTACAACGCAATGTTTTTTTTTTTTTTTTGTTTTGTTTAAAACTAACTAACGCCCTCCCCCCCCCCCACACACACACACACATACACACACACACATTTCCTTTTTTCGTTGCTCCTTCAGATAACACTTTGTATTGCTGAGGGACTCCCTTCTCCGTTTGGGGGTGTTAATTCGACAATTATATTTGTGTCACCTGTTAAAAGTAATCCTCCATTGCTTTTATTTTTTCACCCGAAAACTGTAAAGTTTAAACGAAGCTTGGGGAAGAACTTGAGAACGACACTCCATTGAGACTTAAAGAGGCAGCCAACGTTCGGCTGTCTCTCAGCCGCGTCCCACTAGAGCGACAGACAGCAACAAACGACAGCGACACACGACAACAAGCGACAGACGACACCGACGGACAACCTGTTTTTCGGAGTCCGCCGTCCCACCTGGCGGACACGACGCAGAACACGGGAACAAGGAAACTTGTTTCCTGGTGGGACTGAAGTCGGCAACAAAACACGGCAAAATACACAGACAAACCGAGTCGGGCGACGCAGTCTTCCCGTTTTGCTAGATGGAGAATTACGCGCCGACAAACACGGCCAAAGAAGAGGTAATTATTTATGTGTTGATGTTTAATATACAGTGTTCCGGCTGATATTTTTTGTCGTTGTTTACTTCCGCGCTTCCCTCATGACCATCGACACCAAAATAAATCCGAAGCGTTCTTTGTGCGCGATCGATATAACTGATATAACCACGAGGATTGGAGATGGGAGCCCCAGCGTCAGCCACGCCAGAGTTCGACTCGGCGCTCGAAGCGACGTTGATTCAAATGGTAGAAGACCGGCCACTAATATGGGATGTGACCCACCCATCCTATCACAAGAAGACAACGAAAGAAAAGGCGTTCAGAGATATTGCCATCGCCCTGGGCTTCGACGGCAACGGTATGTACTCATTGGTTGAGTTTTCTGCGATTAAAACGTCCGGAGTTGAAACATCTACGCACCTGTCAGCCTTCTTTCACGCTCGAACTAAAGTACTGTATTCGAGATTGTTTGAAGTTGTTTACTGCGCTGGCGAGCGCTAGCAAGAAGGTAGCCGCATGCGCGATCTCATCGCGATCGCAGTGCGATTAAATCGCTAGTTTGACAGCACTCGCGATTTGATCGCGATGCGGTAGCGGCTGCAGCTGCTCAGAATCACTGTAACTTCACGCGCATTTAATTACGCAATTTTGTGACCGAAAAGCTATCGCGCCACCGCTGCGACTCGCCTGTACGCGCGCCTCCGGAGTGCACATAACTGAATATGACCACGAGTCCAATTTACACCAAACCACATTTATTCGTCCAGTTTGGTCGACAATTTACAATGTCAGCGAATGAAATATGGTGACACAATTGTAGCATTTGTATACATTTTGATACTTTGATAGTTCTAACAAGTAGTTTAAACATGGCTTGAAACACTCAACAGCATAAAACGAGGTGGCAAGATATATGGAGTGTGAATATTTTGTTTTATTGCATTGCAGTGGAAAAAGTGAAGAACAAATGGGCAAATATGCGGTCCCAGTACCAGAGGGAAAACCGCAAGGTCAAGGATTCGAGCCGCTCTGGTGCTGGGGCCGATGACATCTTTGTTCCAAAGTGGGCGCACTACAAGAAAATGAGGTTCTTGTCGGCTGGGGCTCCTGAAGCCCAAAGCGAGTCGACACTCGAGACCTCCCAGGAGGAAGTGGTAAGTGCCCATTTTGGAGGGACCTTCTTTTAATCGGGAAGGAGCAACACAATTCAGAACACATATCTGTGCCACTTCATTCAAGGCATCGCCCAATAATTGACTCTAACGGGATGAGCACCTTTACCCTTAATAATTCCTTAGCACATAGTTGCATGGGCAACACAAGTGTTGGCTTCAGCAGATGTGCCAAATCTACAGGTCACGGCTCACACTCAAACAATGACAAAAAAGTTCTTTAAAAAAAAGGCAGTTTATAGAGATTATCACTGTTCCAGCCTACAAACTGGAATATGGAATGATTGCATCTGTGCTCCATACAAATTTCAGGGGATCCTTTCTCGCCAAATGAATTACCTCTGTATACCTTAGCTTTCGTAATTGATAATTTGCGATACATTCGTTACACACACTCAATTGTTCTCATGAAAAGCTTTCTTTGTCAGGCTTCTGGTTTCAAATATGCATGTGTACTTTAGAGCTTGTGAATACGAGAATAAAAGAGAAAACACCAAATAATACAAGAAGTGGGATAAAAAATGATGTGCAGGATGATAGCCTCGAGCTGATTTATGAGCCGAGTGAAGAAGCTGTGCAGTCAGCGCCTCCACCCTCCAAGAAGAACTGCCGCCGCACGGAGGAGGCGGCACCGAACAGGGCGGTGCTGCTGCAGGCAGCTGTCGACAGCTTGAACGCTGCCAAGGAGCCGCCGCAGCCGGACGAGTGCAGAAGCTTCGGCGTTATGATGGAGTGCTGCGCCCGCAGCATACCCAGGGGTGCGGACAGGCAGATGGCCATGCTGGCCGCCCACAGAATCATGGTGGAAAACTCAATCGCAGCCAGTTTGGTCGTGGTGCCTGAAGGAGAAAATTAAAAGTTTCAGTTTGAGCTTTATATGGTTTTTTTGTTCCACAATGCCCCACACTTTCTCACTGGTTGTGTGCGGTGCTGAAAAAAGGTACTCAGCAGAACATGCACATTTGTGATAAGCTCTGAGGTAGACCCACCCGTGCCCACACTAGGTACTTTTCTGTTTCAGTGCTTGTGCCTTCTGCACTGCTGCACAAACGTGCTCGGGCTAAACAGTCAAATGGGCTGAGGGAGAGGACACGGGCAGTCTACAGCAAAGCTGTAAACTGCCGGTGCAGAAAAAGCACACAGCAAGACAATATATCAAATTCTACTGCAAGATAATGAGCTTTGCGCATGCTCAGCAAAGAACTTTTCTCCGTGCACAGGGACAACTCCCCTTCCAGATAGAGATAGTCCATTCACAGGCAAAAGCAAGGCAAATTGGACGTGTCAAGTGTTTACACAACATAAGGCGAGTCCACCTTTAAAATATGATGACACTGGTTCTGTGCTACAACTGCTAACCTGGGGGGTCTTTATCATGTATCGTGGAGTGACAACAGAACCGCATGCTCGTGCTATGCTCGTCCTTATTGTAACAAGCAGGAGTGGGAACTGAACCAAGCATCATTCTGTTCTTCAGTGCAAGCCTTCAGTCCCTGCAATCACTGGGCACAGTGTAGCAGATTTAGCTCGAATAAGTCTGGAGACTAAAACCGGACAACAAACTGCCACATTGTCAGGCTCCTCGCCCTTGTCAAATAGTTTTCTTTTTTTTTTTCTGTTATTTTGTGTTGAGGTGCACAGGCCAACTGTGTGCATGTTGCATTTTCACAGCTACAGTGTTAAAGGGATGCTGAACCGAAATTTTTGGGTGGAAATTCTTGGTCGCAATGGCATACATAGCCTGTCCTTTACTTCTGAATGACGTTGTTTTGAGCAAGAAGGCGTATAAAATTGAATAAACACGAAAAATACAATTTTACGCGACCCCTGGTGAGCGTCGTGGAAAGCTCGCTTCGTGACGTGCGCATTCTCATTCGCCTCAAAAGACAGACAGAGCCAAGCCAGGCGCTAAGCCGGGTGGCATTTGTTATTGTTAGTACCAGTTGCTTAGAAAACAGCTGCCGAGCGAAGAATCAAGGGGAGCACCAACGAACGAGGAGAATGCGCGGAGGCACCAGGGGCGCAGATGGCACCGAGAATGCGCACGTCAGTTCTGTTACGCCTGCTCTCAGAAGGACTCGCTCGCGCCGGCGGCTTCCAGCCGAGGATTCACTCTTAGTTCAAAGAAATACAATAATTCGGGCCCCATCCGTCTGATTGAATATCATTTTTAGGTACAGTACGATCCCGTAAAGCCCGCTCGGGCTATAATTATGAGATTTCAAATATCGGTTCAATCGTTTTTAGGTACAGTACCATCCCGTGAAGCCCGCTCGGGCAATAATTATGAGATTTCAAATATCGGTTCAGCATCCCTTTAAACTTGTTTCATATGCTGGAGTGTCGTGTCTCTAGTTTTGGTTGGTGTTGCTGCTATCAACTCTGCTGCGGTCACACTAGCCACCCTGTTCAGTTGGTGTAGGATCCAACATTGCACACACTTCAAGGATCATAAATAATTTGTGGTTCTTCGTGTACAGTAGGAGTTCATTGTTGTCAGAACTGCCTGATGGGGCCCGAAGAGTTAAAAACAGCACTAACAAATTTCTATGCAACTCTGTGGTTTCAAATTGGGCTGGTATTGGGTGAGCTTTCACAAACTAGTAGTACCTTAAGTACAGTAGCACACTTGCTAGGCTGATGTATAAGCCAAGCAGGTGTGCTGCTATGGTACTTTGTGGCACTAAATTGGCCTCCTCTAGCTGCGATGCCTATATTCGCACACCATGTAGACAAACCAACAAAACACCGTAAAAACTTATTCTTCCATTTTGTTTTGTCTCTAACCGGCTAGCAAGTAGGATGAGAAAACTGTTGGATTATTTCGAAATGGTTTAAGATTATTAAGAGCGCAGGATCGCACATGAGTGACTTCAGACGGTGGGCTTGAGCGCATGCGCTTATCTTCGATGGAAATAGATAGAATGGTATGTCTTGCAGTTCGGGCAGCCTTTTCTTTTACTTTTCTGCTTTCGGAGAGCAACAAACTTCTTGAAAGCTACAACACCTTAATTTTTATACATTATACTCAACTGTTTGGCTATACAGATGGCCTGTTGGAGATGTTATATATCTTATTAGCAACCAAAATTAAGCGAAAACAATAGGACGCAGTCGAGCTTGGAATCAGCAGTCATACTTAGATATGCCTGACTATGTATAGACAAAAAAATCTACATGAAAAGAGGGACACATGCAAAATGAAGTCGGTATAGGTGTCCTTTTTTTTTCAGTGTTTACCTACAATGTCTTGGGTTGCAGATAATGACGGCTTCAGCGGACCTGAGTAATGTCGTAATACCCCAACAACTGTTTTAATGGATGCTACTTCGTTCCTGCATACAAACATGACATACCGTTACTCCAGCACCTTCCACTGCCAAGAAACCTGGCCTTCATTCATGAAGTAGTCTCTGAAGACCTCACGAACAGCCTTGGCGTCGTCTGGTTGTCTGCCACCAATGCGCTCCAGGGGGAAGACTGCTTTGTCGTTCACACCCTTTCTCCAGCTGCCTTGACGTACAGTGACTGAAACAAGTGAAATGAAAATTAATATTTTTTTAACGCATTCACCACCAACTAGCAGTATTAGAGATTAACCGAGTCTTTACTACAAGTTGCAAAGACCCTCACAAAAGAACTACGAATGCTATGAGGCTGTGGAGTAGAGTTTATCTGATGCCAAGCATTTGCAAGGCATGAGCGCTGCCAGGAAAAAACGGCTGCACAAAATGTGAAGGAGAGCAAGGAGTGCATGGCACGACACCAATATAGCAAGGAATGTTCACATACAAGCCAACAAGTATTGTCCAGCTACAGCAGAACTAGAATGGCACAAGCAGCTTGCTTATAATGGTGTTGCTTTAGATGGGCTGTTAAGTTCAAATGTGGCATGACCAGCTATGTCCACATACGGCTCTGCACATCTTGCTTTCTTTGCATTTTTCTTGCACGCCATGCATTGCAGAATTCCTAAATAATAGCAAATTCGGGTAGTCAATCGCTGGCGAGACTGAGCCGGCGGAACCGGCAACCAGAAACGCGCTGGCGGCACACCACGTGACCTTCAGCGCCCGAACACGAAACGCCAGACAGTGGCGTTTACCTCGCCTCCTGTTCGCGCGACACTGTTAGCAAGAGGCTATTGCTGCCGTCACCCATGCTCCAACGGCTTGGATTGACTTGAGCAGTGGCTGCTGAAGTGACTTCAGATCAGTTTAATTCTTTCGTTCATTTTTTTCTCACTGACCTTCTCTCCCATTTCGGAAGTAACGACACTGGATACAGACTGGCGCCTGCTGGCCCGGCCGTTTGGAGCTCGGGCCGAAAAAGCGCCGGAAAGTTGCCGTTGCTTGCCGGAGAACCACCACCCGAACGGTGCGCGCCGGCCGGAAACTGATTACGGGAACACTATTGCCGGTTTTCCGGCAAAATAAGTTGCCGGCGACTGACCACCCAAATTCGCCATAAGGAACTTATTCCATACGGCACTTATTGCTGTGCAAGAGGTCGGCACACTCTTTGGAGGGAAATTGTGTTGCAATGAAAAAAGCCACGAGCTGACTGTTGTTCTCTTGGCCATAGTCATTTCAATTCGAAGGAACGCATACGTCTTTCCACAACGGTATGTTTCATTAATGTGAAACCGGTTAAACAGTAACATTAGATCTTTCGATGTGTTGCAGTCTTGCATTAGTGCACCGAATAGTGCTGTTTACATTCAGAAATAGCTGCAAGCAATAATAATGAGTGGCATTGCCATGGCTGCTGACCAGAAGAATTGGGGGACCCTCGCTAGAGCACTACACATTTTGATTGTGAGCAACACGCTGGAGATGTGTCTAGTTGTACATTACGCAACTATTGAAAATTGAAAGCGACATATCTACACCAGTTGAACAGCTAATTTCGCATTTACCTGTGAGCACGTCTTCAACATCAAGGCTGTCGGGTGGTGTGTACCTTGCCCGCGTGCCGTTCTTCGTCCGAAGGTAGTTGTGTAAGGCAATAGTCGCCTTCACAACCTTCACCGCTCTGTCCGGCTTGTGACGAAGAGGAGCCCCATAGACTTGGAATCTGTTCCGGAGGATGCCGAAGCCGTTTTCAACGATTCGGCGTCCCCGGGAAAGCCTGTAAAATAGATTGTAATCTTGTTCAATCAATGAGGAAAAAAGGTTGGTATCGCAGCGGACGACTCTTTGCCAGCAGACGACAGCTGGTTCCTTCAGGCCTCGCATTTGGTGCAGTGACACGAATGCCACCGTGACGTGCTGTCATGTGCCTCACTCCAACGTCCTTAGTAGGTCACGGGGGCCGTAGCCTCCATGGTTCGCCAAGTTATCGTGAAACGAAGTAAAGCTAAGGAGCTGCACGGGACCTTGACGAGTCAGACTCGCTTCAGCGCTCAACCCTTGTGGTTACACCAACTTCGACGCTTGGGACGCTACTGTTCCTCTTTTGTTTACCCGGCACAAGTTCGCCACATTAAATGTTTAGTATCTTTTATTTATCACTTAATCAATTATCATTTGTGACAATATATTCACACCCTTACTGATTGCTTATCACCATGGCTGTGCTACTTAACTCTCTTCAGCTTGGCCCACACTGCACTCCCCAAACAAATTCAACAGGTCTGGGATTTTAAGAAAACAAATTTGCAGCAAAGGGGATATTAAAATAATGAAGATACCATTTCGGCTGATAACAATAAAAATAGCAAAGCACACCATCGTGCTTGCAGCGTGTAACTTCGCTCAAATAAGAAAAAGTTACTTTCAGCAATTTTGCTGGCGAGATTGACATACAGTCGTAGCATTCTGATGGGGCACATGTGTTGCCCATGTGAAACTAGTATTCTTTATTAACACCAATTCCATCTTTTCGCCTGTCAGGTATCCCTTAATTGTTTCAATCTAGAATTCAGTGAAGCGTGGTTCAAGCCTAACAGAGGTCTGTCATTTTAAATTTTACAGTGCAAAAAGAGAAGAAATTGCTCTCGCTTACCAAATGACAATTACAACATGTGAACCATGCGTAGGGACACAATTGCACGTGGTGATTGCTGAGAGACAAAGACGTTTATTTGCGCGTTTTTGATTCCGACTACGGAGGGCTGGCGACGCTGCTTGTGCCGGTAATACATATGATGATGCCGCTGGCCACACAACACACTCTTTCAGCGCAGCTGCTTTTTCTTGTCAAGCTGCCAGCCCTCTGGGGAGGCCTCTCAACTCCATGTTTTTATGGAGCCTTTCATTTTTTTGGTTTAGCACACAGAAAAGGACGCCCATGAAATGCATGGATGACAAATGTGGCAGACACTCCCATAGGCAGCCATGACGGTATGTATGGATGGCACTTTGTTGTTGGCCGTGGTATGCTACTGTTATCCTCGTAACTCGGAAATGCAAGTAAACTGGCAATATGCACTGACAGCAGCATAGTGATCACAGCATATTGTGAGCTCACCGATAGTTGAAGATCCTTTCGGCATCTTCCAGCTCTGACGCTGGAAACGGCCGCATCAGGTATGGCTTCATGCCGAACCCTTCGTCCCCCACGATGACGAAAGGTGCCGTCTTCGTTGAGTTTGGCAGCTGGGCTGCTTTCGGAAACTCAGCAATGCCCCGGTCAATACGTGCCCGTAGATCCGTGGCAGCCCATACACCACTGTCATTCATACGACCATTCCTACCCACATCAGCGTACAGGAACTTCAGATCAGAGTCCACAAGGGCCATCAACACAATGCTGAAGGTACCCTTGTAGTTTCGGTACATAGCTCCTGTACCCTGAGGTGGGCAGATCGTGACATGCTTCCCATCTAAGGCACCCAGGCAGTGAGGGAACTGCCAGATTTCTTCGAAGCCTCGGGCAACTTGCTCCCACTCGCCTGGTGTTGATGGCACCTTGAATGGAATAGGGAATTATGTTTGTCAAGTATGAGGCAACATAGAAATAACTCTTTACTTCTTCTACCAAAAGAACCGTGAAGTTCACTTGAGTGTTATCATGAAAAAGTATATAGAAATATTATGCCTGTAGCTTCATCAAACAGCACCGATATGCCTCTTGGATCCAGTCAGTGGAATCCACTAAGTTGACACTTATTAAATGGCATAGCCAAAAAGTTGACAAGCACGTTCTGAACTAATGTGTTAGCATATTCCACTTGTATGTTCCATCAATGTGCAGAAAAAGTGACAAAATTCGCAAGGTAACAGGGACAGATATTGTCACAAATAACTGTTGACAAGAAGAGCTGAATTAAATAATTCTTTAATGGGGGTGAACTTGTGCCCAGAACAAAAGAAAATAACTGCGTCGCAGGCTTCGATTGTCGGCGTGACAGCAAGGTTGAGCGCTGGAGATTGAATGATTCTGTACAACCATGTGGGGTTCGTTTTATTGCCGCTTCGCTTTCTATAACATTCCTACTAGAACATTTGGCCCTAGGACATTCCTACTAGAACAAAAGACAACAGCCTTGAATTTTCTAGGACATGTTTTACAAGTTAAAAAAAAAAAATTGCTGCCGGTTTCGGGATTCGAACCCGGGACCTCTGCATGGCAGCCAAGTGTGGTTCCCACTCGGCCACTACACATGCATGCGGCAATGTAACAGAATGATCAATACTTCGGCATCAATACTATAATGGTGTTAGTGTTGTCCATCGCACCTCTAGTTTCAGTTTTGGCATTTCTCAGTCTAATAAATTCGGAAGTTTGAACAGACCCACACTTTTTTAACTCCATGGTTCGATTATCGAAGCCTAGATGCAAGAAAAGCTTGTATTATCTCTAGTTTATTTCACTTAGTGTAGAAATATGTGGTAATGAATAACTCGAAAGCATCGTCGCCAGCTTATATTCGTAATATTTTGTTATTTGCATTACTCCGTACAGATGAAAGAGCAGTTCAGTGTATATGTAGTATGATACATTAACTCTGTCTTGCTGGCTGAATTATGGAGGGGTTAATGAGTTAATGTGAAGCATGTAAGGATTGCTCTCATTATGCTGACAACAAATCATGTAGGAAAAATCTACCTTTATGTAGTCGGGGGCCAAGACTTCATAGATGGCGACGCAAACGTCCCGGACTATCTTGGAAATGGTATTATGCCCCCTTCTAAACTGGAAACCCATGGAGGCGAAGGTTTCCCCTGTAAGCAAGAAATGATAGCACCGAGATCAGAAATGCACAGCACAGAAACAAGTATACCATCATGAAACACGAGAGTACAGCGTGTTTCACCTAATATTGCAATTGCTTTCTTTCGCAAACCTCAATCACGTGCTAAAATACTTAATCGTGACTTGGCTCCTATTAAAATTGAGAAATTGAAGACTTGAAATTCCCATGCAAACGTTACTCCACAAGAGTCGACCGTGCATGAATACCACGAGCGATAACTAGCACTGCCAGTATGACAAAGAATATCAAATCGATGCATCCGGAAACCGCAATATTTTTTCACAAACGCCGCCGCGTTCGTGTTTCAAAATAAAGTTTGGACTGTAAAATTGCTTGTGAAAATCAGGAACTCGACGCATTAGGTAGAAACTTACCCCGAATACGTCTTATACTTGCCGGATTCCAGCAAAAAATTTTAAAGTCTCCACTCACACTCCAAACAAAACAAAAAACAAAAAACAAAAAAAAAACCCCAAATTGGTGTAATTTTTTTTCTTCTTCTGTATGTAGAAACTTGAAATTTGAACGCATACGTGGGAGTAGTAAAATATGTATTTGAGGTAAGTTCAACCTTATACGTACAGTTGCTGATTTTTTACGGGCCATTAATATTAGCTTGTAACTTTGTTTGTAGACAGTAAAAGAGGATTGACTCAATGTATCAAGTTGAAGGTTACCTCGAATATGTAATTTACTAGTCCCATTTACACATTAAAATTCTAAGCCTCTACTCCATGTGCAAAAAAATAAAAAATAAAAACTGTCTCATTTAGTAACATGGGACATTGTTGTTCTTTATTTTTATTTTAATATGTTTGTACTTCCAATCGAAGCTTAAATTTTTAATGCGTCAATCTGACCAATAAAATAAGTATTCGAAGCAAGTTTCTACTTGATGCGTCGAGTTCCTGATTTTTGCGGGTGATTTTAGAGTCAAAACTTTAATTAAAAAAAAAAACCCCTGACGATCTGATGTCTTTTCCTTTATGTTTCGATGTGCATGTCTGAATGCGACCAAGATTAATTTTTCAGATATACGTGAAATCGACAAAACAAATGTTCGAGGAAAAAAAAAAAAATAAAAAAAGAAAATCTACACTGGGTATCGAACCCGCGAACGCTACGTCTGACGCGGATATCTTACCCGCTAAACTACGTTCCCGCTGCAAACAATTCGCTTTGACAATTCGTTTTATGCGCAACCTTCGGACGGCACTTGAAGGCGTGAGTGGAATGTCGTCGGATGGCACTTGAACGCTCTCCAAGAGCGCCATCGGACGGTACTTTAGACACTAACACTATGTTGTTCAAAAGCAAACTCTGTGCGTAAACAACATTCTTCGGTTCGCTCTTGCTACATGACTTACCAGTGGCGAGGTATCGCAGCGTGATCGCCAGCCTTTCGCCTGCAGGGATGGCTTCGCGGAATGACGTATCTTGTTTCTCGATGAGCGGTCTCACCTTCCTCAACAGTTCTTCAAATGTCCCAGTGTCCATGCGTATCCAAGAGCGGAACGCCTCGGCGTCTTCTAGCGCTAACTCACGCATCAAGTTAGCGTAGCAGCCCTGCTCCCGGTGTCGGCGCAGGTAGGGCTTAAGGTAAAGATGTCGCTGGTCTGCCGCTGGCGTGGCCTAAGAAGAGGGGAGGAGCCTGGGAGAGGGGAGGGGGAGGGGCTATTACGGAGCGCCAATGGCGAGGGGCGCGGAGGGGCGCGCGCCGGGAAGCAGGCACGGGCGCTGCGGGCTCCTATTTCAGTTGCTTTGTCGGAGTACAGATGGCGCTACGAGCGCGCTGTCGCGTGGAGTGGGGAAGAGAGGGCAGACGGGCGGCACCAAGGACGCGGACACCTCTTTGAGTTGCTCTGTCAGAGTAAAGATGGCGCTACGAGCGGCGCAGCGCGCTCGTGACGGTTGTGCGCCTTTGCGCTACGCGGTGAAACGGGCGTACGGTCGCACTAGCGACGCCGGCATGTTGTCGCAGCCCTGTCGTGACGGCTCTTGCGGCGCGCCGCCGTGTTTCGCTTGCTTTTGACGGCTCTGCGCTCGGTCGCGCGTCGTCGCTCTCTGGGCGCGCTTATGGCGCTGGTCACTTGATGAACTCGCGCTCACTTTTCTGCGCGCTTTTTAAACTGCAGATGACGGGGCTATGGTGTACTAGTACACCATAACGGGGCTCTGTAGCGCTTTTGAGTGTACACATCTGAAAGGTGATGGCAGTGAGGTCTTGTGAAAGTAATTCGGAATACGTAAAACAATCCCTGATTGATAGACAGTTTGACGTCTATTTTTAGGTTATTGGTTGTCGTATCAATACTGCTTTTCTTCTAGCAGTCTGCTAGCTGAAAGGCTCAAGACAAACAAAGACGACGCACTGGGTACTTGACCTCTCACTAAAGGAGATGAAAGCTAGGAACAGAAATAACTCTCGAACGGTTATTATTTTTGCATGAAAAAGCAATGCTTGTAAATTGTGAAGGGAAATTAATTTCCTTATCAGATATTCCTGCTTTCTTTTCACAAATTTCTTTTTTCTTTTCGTACGTTTGTTAGTTTGTGCGCAGGTATTGTGACCCAAAATTGGAGCGAGCAAGCCCAAAGGCACTACGGCGCAAAGCAGCAGGGACTGGGTTAAAGAATTTTACATATATCCAATTTTTTGGACTGCACAATTAGTTCACATCTCTCGCCTACCATCAAACAACTTCTCACTCAGTGTATCAATAACATGAAAAAAAAAATACAGTAGAAATATTTCCACTTGTGTAGGTGATCAACCCAGTATAAAAGGCTCTGGACCAACCAATCGAGCGAGCACGGAAATAGAAACCGGAGCAGCTATCATCCAAGCATTTCAAACTTCGCAGTGTAGCAACTGCCGCCAGGCGAAAACAATAAAAATAAAGGAACAGCTGCACTGCGCGAAAAACTGGCTCCCACGCCACAGTGCCCGATTGGAATTTTTTTTTTTTTTTTCGCGGTGGTGCTTAGATACGTGTTCCCCACCAATACAAGCCTCGTCATCGTCCGTTCATTAGACCTAAGTTATAGAATGTATTGAGGTTTTTTGTGTCTTGTTTTTGTTCCCGAAATACCTGTCAACGTGCTCTTGGCATTACTTGACTGCGCGCTGGGCAGGGGACGTCGCGGTGTTACAAAGTCCCTAGATAAGAGCTTCCTACTAGTTGCGACATTTCTTGAGGCGCCGACTGCGTGGCGGTGCAGTTTTAAGGAAGCGAATGGCGGCGCACAGCAGAAGACTGAACGGAATGGCGCCATTTTGTTCCAGTGGAATCTGCTTCGTCATTTGTATACATGCCTTGAACCTACGTCACATGACGACGTTGAACACCCGTAACACCCATGGTGGTGGTTGAGTCGATGGTGATTCGCGGCAAGAGCCTTGGTAAACTGCGCCGCGCTCGGTTGTAGCCCCGCCCAGCGTTTCGTCGGCATGCCCCACGACAGAGTAATCATCAAGTTAGAAAAAGTACGAGCAGCAGGAAAGGAATGCGGGCGCGCATTACTGAGTTTGCGGACGGATTTCATAGCGGCGAGCGACCGCACTTTTCTACCGTTGTTTACGTTGGTGCACACCTTTGCATCGGCTTTCTCCGTTCGTCTTGTAGTTACCCTTGGCCTTTCGTTTCATCACGCCGTTTCCACGCTTCAAGCGCGCATTTGGGCTGTTTGCCCGGCCAGACGGCGATCGGTCAGCGGCGCCGCTGTGTGCACGCTCACAGAGACGCCGCCGCCGGGGCATCGGCTTGTGCCGTCTGCGACACGATAACCTTTGCAAGGAAAGAAAGTGTGCACGTGAGCTGTTTAGGAAATATAATTTAAACCTTGATACAAGGAGAGTTCAGTATTTTTTCTCCTTTTTTCAGGGTTTAGATTATGACTGTAACCTTACTTTGCTTACCAGTACTTCGCAAGATCGTCAATGTTTTACTACAAGCGGCTCCTTGAGCCGTCCGTCACAATTGAGAGCGCGCAATGAAAAAAAAAAAATTTTTTTTTTTTTTTTAGCCGACAGGATGGTTTTTTTGCGTCAAAACTTCGTTGGCGGCATATGGAAACTTTTTGCTCATAGCACAATCGCACCCACGCTAGCAGCCGCCTGCCGCTCCTTTTATAACGTCACATTTCTCCATATCGCTAGCAGGGAATCCCGATGGACAATGCCCCGACCAAAGCAATAGGGCCATTGTCTCAACGTACAGCTATGCCTTTCCTTCTCCCTCAAACACCGCCAACCACACCCGCGCCGAGGCGCCAGACGTCCTTCGTCGCTGTGTCGCCTCGCCATCGAAGTCCGGACGGACGAAGAGGATAATCTATGCGGTAAGGGATAATCCCACAAACGCGCCAGAAGCTAGGAGAAGGCGGAATCTCTCCAAGGCTGTCGGGACGAACTTCGTCAGTCAACTCAATAATCCTTCGTTGGAGGCCACGTTGGCGACCCCAAGGCGCCTCTCGCTTTGCTTCCGGGCACAGCTGATCGGAGCCATCCGCATATTTGTGTACTCTTGTCCCCGGCCACTTAATAAACGAATCCGGTATGGGCGACGAAAAAATAATAAAACGCTTCAACCTGTAAATAGTAAAAAAAAAAAAAAAAAAAAAAAATAGAGGGGCGGCAAAACGAGAATGTGTGACGAATGTCGCGGAATTGTTGTACATTACAAAAAACTGGGAAGCAAAACATAAAGCGAAACAAAGGGCAAATGAACACAGATACGGTATATAGAAACGATGTGAAAAAGTTGAAAAAAGAGGGCCAATTTCCGAGCGAAAATGAATCGGCGAGATGAGATCACGATGGCGCAGGCCATTTCTTGTACTCGAGACATGGGAACCGGGACTCGTAGCCGGTTGCCTGCGGGCTGCGTCTCGGCGAGTCGCGGGCCGCATGCGGTCCGCGTGTTTGAGACCCCTGATCTAGGCTATCACGAACAATAGGCGAAGGAAGCGATGCCGCCGGCATGATCCTTTCCTCGTTATGTCATCACTCTAAGTATCGAAGCCGATTTCATATAAAGGCATTTTGTCTCGTTTATAGGCGTTAGAAAACAGTTCCGATAACGCGTCTTGCTCTCTTTATGGCGCACAAAACAAACATTAATTTGGCCTCGAGACCCAGATTGGATTGTATGGAAGCGTGCTTTTGTTTATCTATGGTTCACTATGAGGCATGTGGTGATTCCATCTGTCCACAATGCGGGTGGAGGCAAAGCATCCACACCAGCGGCACAGAGCACGGGCAAGGGTACAGAGTACGAGCTCTTCGCACTTGATCCCAGTGCGCGAGCGCTGCATTGGCGTCTCCCATGGCTTCGGCCTCACGCGCGTAGCATTCCTTTTGCTCCAAGTAAGTGTAAAACAAAGCGTAGTTCTGATTTTCACCGTATGAGCCGTGTCGATCGAATCTCGGGGCGAAGAGTCGTGGTGACAGGCGAAGAGCGCAGTCGAAGCTCCGCCTCCAGCGCGAGCTCTCTCGTCTTGAAAGCGGAAGAGTGCTCACGCAGCTGTAGGGAGTATTCACTGGACGCCATATTTGTGGGTGCTGTTTAGAGCGCATGCTCAGAAAGAGCTCACATCAATAGGTTGCTAAGACCGGCACTCTTGATGGTGCGGAATGCACGTTGCAAAAGAACTGTGGAAGCTCGCCATCAGCACGCGCTCAGCATTCGCGCACACAGCTATGGCCGACAGTGAATACTCCCTATACACGCAGCCAAAGTACACTCTAGCCAAAGCGCTGCGAAAGACAAAGAGCGCTTGATGGAGGCACTGACTGTAAATGCCACTAAGATGGCCGCAATGCCATCAAAAACATCTCTCTTTTTTTTTTTTTTTTTTTTAAGACAAGAAAAACAACTTTGTTCTGCGACGTGCCGGGATCGTGGATTTGTACAAATTCGTTTTGTTAAACGTCTCACTTTCCTCAGTTATTCGTCGTTTTGTTACATGTCCTTCGTAGTGATTAGATGCAAAAAAAAAAAAAAAGGAAAAAAGAACTGACAATTTTTTTAACACTAGAATTGTTGCACTACCCCTACAAATGGGCGGTGCAAGGATATTCAGTTGGAATGTGTTTCACTTTACACGAGTTTACTGGCGCTCGTGGGACCCAGGTATACCCGCACGCAACACCACTGACCGAGAAACTTCTGAGCGTGTTCTTTCAGTCTATCCTTCGCAAAACTTGATGACGTAGCGTGGGGGTCCCCTAGTGATAATATTTAAATGCGGCTCATAGATTGAACCCGAGCATCGCGTGAGCACCCGATTTGGACTCGTGATAATCGATAGCTCGACAAGCATTCGGGTATAGTGGCTCGTGTGTCCGATCGCGGCAATCACGACACCGAACCCAAATAATGTCTGAAACTCAGCGTGTGTCCTGTGCTTTGCCAACCTCAGCGTGTGGCTATGATCCACACTGGCGGCATATCATCGGCTCCAGATCACTCGGCCGCTTGTTCTGACTGCAAATTAAAAAAATAAACGCTGCTTTTTTTTTTTTTCTTTTTTTTGCGACGTTTATTTCCTGCGGAGAAAAACGAACGCGTGTTTCATTGGTCATAAACGTGCAGGGA